TCTGGGATAAAATAACGTAACACTGGAATATGAATTTCATTTGAAATAGGAAATAATTTAATGATGTATCCAATGTCAATAGAGAAAAATAGAAGAAATTGCTAATTCTTGGTTTTCTTTATGCCTTTAATAACTTCTGTTCAGCTGTAAAAATTAAAAATATATGTGTGGATCCAAGTGTGTGTGCTTGGCTATTTGACAGTGTATAAGAAATTGCATCCTAATAAATAAGTTATCCAACTTGCTTTCTAATTGGTTCTCCAAACATTTACTGAGCACATGCTCTTTTTTAATATTTTATTCATTATTTTTATTTCATGTGTATGAGGAAATTGCCAGCATGCATGTAAGTGCACCCGTGTTTTGCAATACCCATGGAGGTCAGAAGAGGACTGTGAATTCCCTGAAACTGGAGTTACAGATGGTTGTTGGCCTCCATATGGGTGCTGGGAATTGAACCTCTGCAAGAGCAGCCAGTGCTCTTACCCACTGAGCCATCTTTCCAGCCCCAGAGCACCTGTTCTTTGCAAGGATCTGTGGGATGCTAGGAAAAGCCAGACCCACCTTTTCCCATAAAAAGGTCAACTCTGTAAGGTGAAGCCATTTCAGGACGAAATGAGACGTCTTCTTAGACCAAAGGAACAAGTGAAGAAGGGATGCAGAGTGACATCCATGCACAAGGAAGAGCAGTCCAGTTACAATGTCTTGAGCTAAAGCAGTTCGGGGTTCAAAGAAAGTGCAATTCCTTCTGTGGGAGTGGACTATAATGAAGCTTCCTGGTAGCCAGCCCCAGATCCTTTCGTTTTGAGTAGTTCTATTTCTATTTTCTGAGCAGTTCCTTTCAGATGGCAAATGGATAAAGCAGGGCAGAGAATCCACCTGGGTCAGGTATGTTGGTCCTGTATTCTTTTCCCACTGTAGTTGAACACTACAAAAACTGGACCATTTATTCCCATCATCATTAAAGAGTTCCGGAGAGATAAGGACAAATCTCTCATGAAGTCAGAGCCAAAAGCTATTGGCTAGGTAATCTCTTCCTTGTAAGGGCAATGCCAGAGCCCAGAGTATAAAACTGATATTACAATTAGGTCATTTTGAACACAATTTTATGACTATATCTCTGTAGTACACTTTGAGTTCTGGTATAGTAATCCCCTAGCGTTGCTCTTTGTGCTCAGGGTTGCTTTGGCTATTTAGGGTCTTTTGTGCTTCCATATGTGTTTAAGGATTTTTTTCTAATTCTTTGAAGTATGTCATGGGGACTTTGATTGGGATTGCATTGAATCTATATATTACTTTAAGTAGGATGGTCATTTTCACAATATTAATTCTTCGAATCCATGAGCATGGGAGGTCCTACTATCTCCTGGTGTCTTCCTCAATCTCTTTCTTTTCATTGTAGAGATCTTTGGTGTCTTTGGTCAAATTTATTCCAAGATATTTTATTATTTTTGCAGCAATTTTAAATGGGAACATTTCCCTATACCTGTTCTCCAGTTGCTGTTATTGGTATATAGAAAGGCTACTGATTTTTGTAGACTGATTTTATAACCTGTCACTATACTGAAAGTGTTGATCAGTTTTCTAGTGGAACTCTTGGGATCTCTTAGGTATATATCATCTGCAAAAATCGATAGTTTGACCTCTTCTTTTCTGTTTAGTACTCCTTTAATTTCCTTCTCCTGTCTTATTACTCTAGCAAGAGTTTCAAGCACTATGTTGAAGAGTAGTGGAGATAGTGGACATCTTTGTCTGCTTCCTAATTTTAATGGGAACGCTTCCAGTTTTTCTCCATTTAGAATGACATTGCCTGTGGGTTTGTTGTATATGGCTTTAATTATGTTGAGGTATGTCCCCTCCAGACCAGTTCCCTTTTATTTTTATCAGAAATGCATGTTGAATTTTGTCAAAAGCCTTTTCTGCATTTATTGAGATGGTCCTTTTCTTTGAGACCTTTTATATGATTAATGACATTTATTGACTTTCATATATTGAACCATCCCCATACCTCTGGAATAAAGCTTACTTGATCATGGTGAATGATTTTTTTGATGTGCATCACTGTGTGGTTTGCAAGTATTTTGTTCAGAATTTTTGCATCTATGTTCATTAAGGATATGTGTCTATAGTTTCTTTTTTGGTTGTTTCTTTACCTGATTTGGGTATTAGAGTGGTGCTGGCTTCACAGAAGGAATTTTGGAGTTCTCCCTCTGTTTCTATCATTTTGAGTAATTTAGGTACTATTGGATGGAGGTCTTCTTTAAATGTCTGATAGATGTCTGCTATAAATCCATCTGGGCCTGGGCTTTTTTCAGTGGGGAGGCTTTGTATTACTGTTTCAATTTCCTTATATGTTATGGGTATGTTCAAACTGTTGATCTTTTCTTTAACATTGGTGGTTCCCATGATTTTAGATATGCCTTCATTTCTTTTAGATTTTCACATTTAGTGTAGGTTTTAAAAATATTCCCTTATAATGCTCTGGATCTTTTGGCTGTCTCTTGTCATGTTTTCCCTTTCATAGCTGATTTTGTTGATTTTGATATGCTCTTTCTTTTGGTTAACTAGGCTAAGGGTATGTCTATCTTGTTTTAGGTTTTCAAAGAGCTGGCTCTTAGATTCATTGATTCTTTGTGTTGTTTTCTTTGTTTCCATTTCATTATTTTCTGCTTTGATTTTTGTTGTTTCTTCTCTTCTGCTGGGTTTGGCTTTCATTTGTTCTTGCCTTTACAGCATCTTGAGTTGCAGTGTTAGGTCATGTATTTAGGCTCTTTCTAATTTTTTTAATGTAGGCACTTAGAGCTATAACATTCCCTCTTAGGACTGTTTTTAAAGTTTTCCAGAGCTTGTGTTGTGCTGTATTGTCCTTTTCCTTGAAAACCAGAAATTCTTTTATTTCTTTCTTAATTTCTCCTTTGACCCACTCATTGTTCAGGAGTGTGTTGTTTAATTGTCATGAGTCTGTGTATTGACTAAGGCTTTGTCCAGTGTTAATTTTGAGCCTATTGCATTGTGGCCCAATAGAATGCATCGAATTATTTCAATGTTTTTGTGTTTGATGAGGTTTCTTTTGTGGCCCAGTATGTGGTCAAGTTTCAAAAAAGTTTCATGGAGTCCTGAGTAGAAAGTGTATTCTTTGGTCCTTGGGTGGAATATTAAAAAGTTTTCTTTTAAGTCCATTTAATGTGTGGTATCATTTAATTCAGATGTCTTTTTATTTTTTGTCCTGTTTACTTGTATATTGGCCACTTGGTGTTCTCATTTTAACCATCATCTACTGCATAAGAAAACTTCTCTGTAGAGATTTGAGAGATGAATTAACCTATGGGTATATCAGTAATTCTTGGGACTAAAGAGATTACTCAGTGGTTAAGCACAGTGACTTTTCTTGCACAGGACCCTGGTTCAGTTCCTAGAACCCAAGATTCCGTATTTCTCTAGGAGTCACTTTAATGCTATATCTATTAAGAGGGGTGATTGACCCAGATTACCAGGGGGAAATTGGACTGGTTCTTCACAGTGGAGTCAATGAAGGTTATATCTGGAAGGCAGGAGATTCCTTAGGGCGACATTTGTTTTACCATGTCCTGTGATTAAGGTCAATGGGAAACTGCAAAAACCCAATCCACACAGGAAAACAAATGGCCCAGACCCTTCAGGGATGAAAGTATGGGTCACTCCTCCTGGGAAAGAGCCTGTACCTGCAGAGGTACTTGCTGATGGTGGAAAAAATTCAGAATGGGTAGTAAAGGAAGGTAGTTACAAATACCAACTTAGGCCACGTGACCAGTTGTAGAAACAAGGATTGTAATTGACATGAGTATTTTTCTCCTATTTGCTTAAGAATAAGCTTGTGCATGTATGCACATATGTTAAGCAGATACTTGTGTTATTCTTTTTTTGAATGTATAATTGAGATAAGTGTTATGTGGTTAAGGATTGTGAACCTATATCATCACATTGGGTTATGAGATACTAAAGGATTAAGCATTCCTTGAAGACCTTATCACCTACTCTAAGATATATAATGCATTGGTCATTGTATGATGGGATAGTCATATCATGATAGGTGAAATTTTGAACTCAACATTGTTTTCATTGAAAATTAAGCATGACATAGAGAGATGCCATTGAGTGTCAAGTTGACAAGGGGTGGACTTGTGATGGGCAATTCTGGGTGTCAACTTGACTGGATCTGGGATTAACTGAAATGAGAGAGATTTTCTTAACTGGATCATCTGAAGCTGAAAAAAACACCCTAAATGTGGGTGTTACCTTCTGATGGCAGCCCATATAAAAGGCCATGGCAGAGGAGAACACTTTGCTTTTTGCTGCTTGCCTTCTCTCTTGCTGGTGAGTTCATCGTGCTGCTGTAGACTGAAGACTAGGCAATCTTTTGGAATTCATCAGACCTTCAGTGCCAAATTAGGACTACTGAGACATCCAGCCTCATGGAGTGAGCAACTACAGATTCTCAGCCTCTTCAGTGTGGTGCAGCCATCATTCAGCTACTCAGATTCTATCTTGTGAGCTAAGCTGATAAATCCCTATACATATATAGTCATTCTACCAGTTCTGTTTCTTTAGAGAACCCTGACTAATACAACTTACATGTATACAAGCAATACACTCACACA